CCTGAAATAGTTAACAGTCTGCCCTGGCGAGCCAGTCCAAGCCAGCACCAGCAAAAGGAGCCAGCAAAAGGCTGGGGGTGGGGGGGGTCGGGGGGTGCACACTTGTGGATGGGCAGCAAGTCTGACTTCCCCTCCTCTTCCTTTTCTGTCCTCAGCCCCAGAGAAGATGGTTTTCCCAGATATAGAGACAAAGGTGGTCCCTGTTCCACTGCAGGCTCCATGCTGGCTTTTGGCCTCGGCCACAATCCCAGTCCTCAGCCTGTGCTAAACCTCAGCTGAGTCCCCGCCCTGGACTGGCCTCCGGCCCTTTCCTGGCTGCGGGCGCTGAGAAACCAATGACACCCAGAGGCCGTGGCCTCTGCGGGTCTGGGGGACCACAGAGGAAGGCTCTCCGAGGCTCAGGCCTGGCTGGAGGTCTATTTTAGGATCCCGGCTGTGGACATGGGGTAGCACCGCCAGCCAACTGTGCTTTGGCAAGTGGGGACCTATAATTAGCCTCTGCCTGAGGCTCGAATAAACCCCTTGTTGATACTAAACAACAGTGAAAGCAGGAAGGCCCCCAGCTTCCCGGAGCCCAGCGCTGCCCAGCCTCCTAGGACAGAGCCACTTCATCTGCTGGGCAGCGTCCAAATGGTCCCAGGCCGCCTCCGGTCCTCATCCGGGGTGAGCAGGAAAAGCAAGGGCAGGGTGCCGGCCTTGCCTCCCATCAGCCGGCACCTCTTACCGACTCCTGCGCCGGGGCTCCTGGCAGCCTCCTGCTTCGAGTCTGCGGTCCACCGGGCAGACGTCACTGATTCCCACAAGCCACGCCCCAGCCGTAACGCAGCACATGTAAGAACTGGTGTGTTTATTCTGGACAACCAGACATGGGCGACTGCATCCCCAGGCATCTTTCTGCTTTTCCAGATTTGTGTGCCTCTGAATATGGTACACACATACTGCCACTCATGCCCCAGGGTTGAGTTTTGTTTTTAACTTTTTCTGTCCAACCCCTCATCCCCGCTTTTAAAAGCCGAAACAAAATGAAGCTGTACCCAAGAGAACAGTTTAAACCTGGAGCTCCCTCAGTGGCACCCCCGACCTTAGTCTTTATACATGAATATATACTTGTTTATTTATGGCTGCACTGGGTCTTCCTTGCTACCCAAGGGCTTCAGTAGTTGCACACGGGCCCTAGAGCTTGTGGGCTTCAGCAGTTGTGGCGCACAGGCCCAGTTTCCTCGCAGCATGTGGGATCTTCCCAGACCAGGGATCGAACCAGTGTCCCTTGCATTGGCAGGTGGATTCGTAACCACTGGACCACCAGGGAAGTCCTGCATAAATCAGTGTTTTATTCCTTTTCTTAAATGTGGTCTTCCAAATGGTACAAGCTGCAGGCCTGTCCTGCCCACATCACCACATGGCCACATAGTTTAGAGCACTTCTGAAGCCATCTTCTCTGTATCAGGGTTTTTGAGCCCACAGTCTGGACACCTTCTGTGCCTTGAGGTCCCATACCAGGGTGGAATATTTGCCAGGGGTACAATTGTGATAAGATGAGCAGAGTGAGTGCCCTGAGCTTCAAGTTCATCATCTGCAAGATGGCATCACTGAGCATCCAGAGACAAGGAAAGGGGCTCCTGATATGGGGGTGGCAGTGTGTAAAGAGGATGAAGAGAGGGCTGGGTCACAGCTGCCAGAGATAGTCCTCAGAGGCCTCACTTAGCCAGAGCCCTTGAATGAACTACATTCAACAACATAACTATGTCTTCTTATTGTCTGTATTCTTGATGCTCAGACAGCTGGGGCCTCCTTGACAGGCAGAGACTGCACTTTCACGGGGCTAGCAAGTCCTAGAGATAGTAACTACTTACCTGGGAGAATGCCTTCGAAATGCAAATCAGCCCCTTCTGAGTCAGTACCCCAACCTGACTCCCATTGCTGGCTCTCACCTTCCAGGAGGCAATATTCCTCTGCTCCGACCACCCAGGGCTAAGTACCAGAAAACTGGGGACCACCACTGTAGCATAGAGACCACTGAAATTATTTAAACCAGCCAGTCCCACCTGCTTACCTTGCCAAGCCCATTTCTGCCCATGAAAACCACGATAAAACCTTTACCCATGCTTTCCGCTCACCCCTTCCTGACTAACCCTGGTGCTTCTCCAGATGTTGATGGAATGGCCACCACAAGCCAGAGCTTGGGGACACAGCAATGAACAAGGGGCTGACCTGAGGAGGGCTACTTCAACACGGTGAGATGAGACTTTGCTGGGGAAACAGGACACATAGCGTGGACCAAGTCCCAGCTCCAGGTGGAAAGAATGGTGCTCTTCTGATCCAGTAGGGTCATCCTGTGTGGTGTGTCCACGTCATTGATTTTCCCAACAGCAACCTCATCTTCTCGCTGCTCCAGCCCCACCCTGACACACACAGGGGAGAAGGAAACTGGGGTCTGTCTCCTTCTCCCCATTCTTTCTCATTTCACTCCAGTCTCTGATCTCTGGTGCTGGAAGTCCTCCACCAAGTCAGCAAAGAACTTGCAACTCACTAATTGTTCAGAGCAAAGGACTGATAAGAGCTTAAAACAGTCATTTGCATCATTGTAGTTTTTCAATTTTACATATTTTTATTAAAGATAGCTTGTGCTGTGCTTAGTCGCTCAGCCGTGTCCAACTCTTTGTGACCTCGTGGACTGTATCCCTCCAGGCTCCTCTCCATGGGACTCTCCAGGCAAGAATACTGGAGTGGGTTGCCATGCCCTCCTCCAGGGGATCTTCCCAACCCAGGGATTGAACCCAGATCTCCTACATTGCAGGCAGACTCTTTACCATCTGAGCCACCGGGAAAGCTGAAAACATAACTTACGTATAGCAAAATACACAAATCTGTAAGGTACAGCTTAACAAATTTTTACCTATTATGTGTGTTAATCACTCAGTCATGTCTGACTCTTTATGACTCCATAAACTAGAGTCCACCAGGCTCCTCTGTCCTTGGAATTCTCTAGTCAAGAATACTGGAGCGGGTAGCCATTCCCTTCTCCATGGTATCTTCCCAACCCAGGGATCAAACTCAGGTCTCCTGCATTGCAGGCAGGTTCTTTACCATCTGAGCAACCAGGGAAGCCCCTTTACTTATTATATATCAGTGTAATCATCAGATCCAGATATGGAACATCTGGGTTTTTTTTTAATTTTATTTATTTATTTATTTTTGGCTACATTGGGTCTTTGTTGCTTTGCACAGGCTTTCTCTAGTGGGGGCTACTGTTCATTGCAGTGCAAGGGTTTCTCATTGTAGTGGCTTCTCTTGTTGTGGAGCACAGGCTCTAGGCACTCTGGCTTTGGTATTTGTAGCACATGAGCTCAGTAGTTGTGACATGTGGGCTCTAGAATGTGCAGGCTCAGTAGTTGCGGTCCACGGGCTTCGTTGTTCCCTAACATGTGGAGTCTTCCCAGATCAGGGATCAGATTCATGTCCCCTGCATTGGCAAGTGGATTCTTTACCACTGGGCCATCAGAGAAGTCCCTGGAACATCTTCATCACTCCAGAAAGTTTTCTCAGGTTTGCTTCCATTTTTAAAAAATTTTATTATTTATTTTTATTTTTGGCTGTGCTGGGTCTTCATTGCTGTGTGAGCTTTTCTCTAGTTGTGGCAAGCAAGGGCTTCTCTGTTGCAGTGTACAGGCTTCTCATTGTGAAGGTTCTCTTGTTTCAGAGCGTGGGGCTCTAGGGCACACAGGTTTCAGTAGTTGCAGTTCCCTGGCTCTAGAGCATGGGCTCAGTAATTGTGGCACAAGGGCTCAGTTGCTTAGGGCGTGTGGGATCTTCCTGAATTAAGAATCAAACCTGTGTCTGCTGCGTTGGCAGGCAGATTCTTTACCACTGAGTCACCAAGAGAGCCTCTTGCCTCCTTCTTTTAAAATACCAGTTAGTTTATCCCCCAGCCCAAACTGAAGATTATACAAAAGTCAATATGTAAAAAAATATATGTTTTTTAAAAGAAGTTTCTCAGGTTAAAAAGAGTACCATCCCCCCAATTCCTACCTGTGGGGATCTTGAGAGGTGTTGTGGTCCAAGTTTGAAAAACCATTCTTCTCCATGAAACCTCTGAACTGTATACAATGTTTATGTTCATATGTATGTTTCCAGAGTGGACAGAATTCTAGAGCTGTCCATCATATGCTGCTGCTGCTGCTAATTCACTTCTGTTGTGTCTGACTCTGTGCGACCCCATAGACGGCAGCCTACCAGGCTCCTCCGTCCTTGGAATTCTCCAGGCAAGAACGCTGGAGTGGGTTGCCATTTCCTTCTCCAATGCATGAAAGTGAAAAGTGAAAGTGAAGTCACTCAGTTGTGTTCGACTCTTCACAACCCCATGGACTGTAGCCCACCAGGCTCCTCCGTCCATGGGAGTTTCCAGGCAAGAGTACTGGAGTGGGTTGCTATTACCTTCTCCATGTCCATCATATATTTAAATATAAATAGTTAAGTTTAAATAAAATTGAATGTTCCCCTTCTGCAGTTGCCTTTACCACATTTTGAGTGTTCAATAGCCACGTGGGGCCACTTGTTGGCCCACGCAGTGCAGAACAGTTCCAACATCATAGAAAATTCTGTTGGACAGCACTGGTCTAGAGAGTTCATCAGCTTCTCAAGGCGTCCATGACCAGAAAATGTTAAGAGACACTAGGTTAAGCCAGTGAAACTTTGTTTAAGGAGCCAGAAATTTCTCTGGAGAGCCAAAAGCTCATCGTTGTGAAAGAGGCTATGGACAAGTCTGCCTTAAGTAATCTTTTTGCTCCAAAATCCAACCCTAAAAGCCCTTAAAATACATCCAGATTTTAGACTTTAGTGTTTATCTCCTCCTCTCTTAAAGAGCGATACTTGAATTCTAAAAATACTTGCCATGAGAAAAGTGCTCTCAGCGCCCCAAAGCCTCTGTGCCCAGCATGAGGCCCAGTGGGAAGTGGGAAGACGTGGCAGTGACCTTGTCCTTCGGTGTGTGGTCATTCTAGGTGGGCGAGGCGGTCCTGGAAAACGCACGGCTCATGCTCCAGACAGAGAATATCCAGGCGGGCGCGGACGACTTTAAGGAGAGGTAACACTCTGCAGCAGAGGGGACTGTCCCTCCACACCCAGGACTCCTGGGCCACTTGGGTAATGTGTCTGCAGCAGACACCTCAGTGTCATAGAAGGCTGGGTAGGATAACAGAGGTCCTGGGAGAATCCAGAGCCAAGACCACGCCGCTCAAGCACTCCTTGTCAACACAAATAGGTCTAAGGCCTCAGAGATTTCACGAGTGTCACTTGGTTTACAGCAGGGGTCTCAAAACTCATTGAACATTAGAATCACCTGAGAGGCTGATAGAACACACAGATGGCTGTGCCCATACTCAGAATTTCTGATTCAGTAGGTGGTACCTAAAATTCACATTTCTAGCAAGGTCCCAATGATGCTGATACTCTGGTCCTGGAAACACTCTTTGAGAACTACTGGTTTGGATCTATGCTTCTCAATTCCAGCTGCAACAAGAATTACCTGGGCACTTGAAAGTGCCAGTACACAAGCCCTACAGACTAATTAAAATAGAGTCCCAGGGATGAGGCCAGGCCTCTGTATCTTTAAAGTTCCCCAGGCTTTCCTGATGTCCATCCAGCCTTGAGAACCACCTCTTTGGAGTCTAATACAATATTTCCAGAAATGTGGCTGATTAAGATCATTTTAAGTGGTATGAAGATTAACATTTTATTTTTAATGGTCACTGATCTTTATGTTACCTTCTATTGATGGCCCATGAAACTGTCTTTCCACTATAGTGCTACCATTTATAGTATCAATTTAAAATTTATTTAATATAAAGAGCTTTTAAAGTTTGTTGATTTAAGGTTTGCTGTTTAAGTAGATGAATGTGAGGAACAATAAAAAGTAAATAATGATAAAGGAGATAAACATTTAGAGCAAAATCATGGAGGAGAGTGAGTTTTGCAGAACACCGGCCTAATGGAAAAGCAAAATGAAGATGCCCTTTTATGGATGAGCACAGTGATTTTGAGAATATTTTGTGGGAAAGGTGTCCTGGGAGGTGAGCAAATATGTGAGTCATGGGATTGTTATTCCATAAAACGGCAAAGATGAAGAAGAAAGGCATATAGTTGGGAGTCTGTAGGGAAGACCATGATTCCACAGTCATTCATATCTTAGGAATAAGAAGGGTGTTGTGATGAAACTCCAATACTTTGGCCATTTGATGCGAAGAACTGACTCCTTGGGAAAGACCCTGATGCTGGGAGAGATTGAAGGCAGGAGGAGAAGGGGACGACAGAGGATCAGATGGCTGGATGGCATCACCAACTCGATGGACATGGGTTTGAGCAAGCTCCAGGTGTTGGTGATGGACAGGGAAGCCTAGCGTGCTGCAGTCCATGGGGTCGAAAAGAGTTGGCCACTGAGGGGCTGAACTGAACTGTGATGAGAAAGGGAATCCCCACCATCTCCTCAGATCCCTAGTCTTTTCCTTTCTCTGACACCAAGCTCCTCTGCCTGCTAAAAGGCCTCCATTAGTGGCCACTCTGGAGTCAAAGAGACTCTCAATCAGCTAGGGTTGCAATTTACCCAGCACTGGTAGCCAATGTTACAGGCACACAAAGAAGTGGATCCATCATCCAGTCATGATGACTCAGTGTACAATAAAGACAAACACCAGTAAATAGCAAACCATTCACACTAAAATTAATGTGGAATTTAATTAAGTGTGATAAAGCAGGATCTGACCAAAATGTCTTTCATTCATTTATTCCTTTTGGCATTAACTCATACATTCAAACATACCTTTGTCCTGCCATTCAACAGAATAAAATGTAAACTCACTGAAAGCAGGGGTTTGGTCTATTTCATGCCCCATTGTATCACCAACTCCTAAAACAGAGGACATGAAATAGATGCTCAACAAACATTTGTTGAATGAATGAGTTCAACATGTGTTTGAATGTCTGCTTATCCCAGGCCCCTTGCCAAGTGCTGAGAGTGAAATGAATCAGGCATGGTTCCTGATCTCAATGAGCCCATAGTTTAATGTCAAAGACAGAGGAATGAGCAGACAGTGGTCTCACTGAGCATATATGCCATCACTTAGATGAGCCCAAATGAGGGAGGGTTGGCAAAAGAGGTGATACCTGATTTGGATCCTGAACTCATGTAGAAGTTGACCAGGCAAATAAAGGATGCATGACGTTCCAGGCAGAATGAGCAGCATGTGCCAAGTTGGGAGGACATGAGAAGACACGGTGGGTGAGTGGAATTCCAAGCATCTTGGGCGCCCGGGGCATGTAGAGCAAACGATCCTGGAGGACCACGTCAGCCATTCCAAAGGGTTCAGGCATTATCTGAGAGCAGAGGAGACCCTCAGAAGGGGTCTGGGCGGTGGCCCATCGTGACCAGACTCGAGCTTTAAAGGAAGCTTTGTAGTGGTAGAGAGAAGAGGCAGGCAAATGAGTAGAAAACAGTGGGAGTGAAGGGTCTGGATTGGGACAGTGGTTGGAAAGTCAGTTTATCAGATTATTGAGGAGCCAGAGGATGCAACAAGCCATCTGAGCAGAGAGATGATTCACTGTGGCTAAGTACAGTCACTCTGCGGGCAATCCCGTGAGTCTGGGAAGACTCGATCGAGAAGGCAGATGTAGTTCAGGGCTGGCCTGGGATGGTAGTAGTGGGCAGACTTGAGGGATAGGTTGAAGAACTGACTGGCTGGATTTGAAAATTGTCTACTTAGCCTGAAGAGAGAAGGTTAAAGGTAAATTCCAGGCTTTGACCTTGAGTAATTTAGAACACTGGTGATTCTTTGAATGAAATGGAAAATTGGGGAGGGAAAGCTTGTCTAAAATTCAGGCATTGATGAGTTTGGTTTTGAGGAAGCTGAGTTGAGCTGATGGTGGAGCAGTCAAGCAGAAGTGATGAGATGCCATAGACACCATCATGTCAGGGAGGCCTGCAGCTCAAGGCAAGATGGTTCTGGATGCCATGAGCACCCAGGGGTTCTAACTGAAGCACCACTCAAAGTAGGGTGGTAAAAAAGGCTACAAGTTTAACACCAGCCTTGGGGGATGTCACAGAGATATTTCAAATCCTCAGAGGACTTCCAAAAAAATGGTCTGTAGGGGACCAAAACCTCCAGTAATGCTGAATGGATCATGTGCTAGAAGGGCCCAGGCTCCCTGAACAGGTGAGCAAAACAGGGACTGATGAGGCACATGAGGGGTTCTTCCAACTTGGGTCAAAAGGGACCAATCCCCATTATATGAGTGGCTTTCCATTTCAGCTGGAGGGACAGGATTTGTCTCCAAAGGGACTAAATGTTAATAAGAATACAATCCTTCAAAAAAGAATACATTTGGGTAGAAAATGTAATCCCACATATAGAACACAGACAGATGCTTCAGAAACTATCCTTGAGTGTGGATTCAAAGATACAGGTCCAGCTCTGAAGGAAGTCTCTGGTGGTATGTCACAGGGCTCTGTCCTCAGACTTCTCATTTACTACTTCTAACTGCAAGGTGCTTGAAAGCAGATGTGACAAAATGACCAATGATCCAAAGCCAGTAGGGGTGGTGAAGAGTAGGCTGACAGAATCATGATTCTGGTCCCAATATATTGGAATAATAGGCCAATGAAACTGTAAGAAGATTAGCATGAACTCCTATTTTAGGATTCAAATACTAGGTGCACTTAGAGAAGACAGGAAAACTGGGTTTCAAGCAGCTCTTATGAAAAACGTTCAGGGGTTCTCCTTGATTAGTCAGCAGCAAATACAGCTAGTCAAACTGAAACAAACACAAACAAAAACTCACAATGCAAATCTTAGGGTGTGTGATGAATAAAATTAAAGGGTTTAAACAAAGGAGCAGACAGTCCCACAGGACTCTGAACTGATCAGGTAATATCTGGAGTTTTACATTTTGTTCTCTGTATCACATTTTAAGAAGGATGTAGACCAGTGACAGTATTTCTAACCATTCCACAACTATATCTTAAACCTGGTGCTGGCTGGGAAGACCCAGAGGGATCGGGTGGAGAGGGAGGTGGGAGGGGGGACCGGGATGGGGAATACATGTAAATCCATGGCTAATTCATTTCAATGTATGACAAAAACCACTGCAATGTTGTAAAGTAATTAGCCTCCAACTAATAAAAATAAATGAAAAAAAAAAAAAAACCTGGTGCTGGGAAAACAAAATGGAAAGGGTCACAGACCCTGCCCTCAGTAATGATGGATATGAAAACTTATTTATATGAAGAATGGAGGAAGGAAGTAGAAATCTTTAACCTGAAGGAGAAAGGTCTTAGAGGGGTGGAGGGGATGGAGATGGGATGAGAGAGTAAGGGAGTATCTCCAAATGTTTGGGGACAGCCAGTGAAGGATTTACACTGACTTCAGGTGTTACAGAGGATGGAACTCAGACTCTTATAGGAATGGAAACTAAAGCTCTTGAAGGAGGCAATTTGCAATAGTTAGAATCATTCAAAAATGACCTGGTGGCCTTGGCGATGAGGTCCCATTGCTAGAAATTTTGAAGTCGAGCCTGCATGATCACCTATCAATAACACCATCAAGGGATTGTCACCTGCCAGGAGCTTCAATAGTCAAACGCTAAAGTTCCTTAAAATTCTAAGACCTTACGATGCTTTCTGGAATGAGAGGTGTGAGATGTCTCCCTTCTGTGGATAGATGAAGGTAACATGTGAAATGTGACTGAGTGGATGATGGTGGAGGAAAGGGGTGACACTGGGAGAAATTGGAAAAGATGTTGGATAGTTGTTAGAAAAAAAGGCCTGAGAAAACCAGAGATTGAAGTGACTCAGAAGTGATGGTTTCACACTTGTATCTGTGCATGCATGTGTGTGTCTGTGTGTTATTGCATGTGTGTTAGTCACTCAGTACTGTCTGACTCTTTGTGACCCCATGGACTGTAGCCCACCAGGCTCCTCTATCCATGAAATTCTCCAGGCAAGAATACTGGAGTGGGTAGCCATGACCTCCTCCAGGGGATCTTCCTGCAGGCAGATTCTTTCCCATCTGAGCTGCCAGGCAAGCCCCGTGTTATTGCATAGTTCACATATAAATCCAGGTCTCCAGTTTCTGTAGAAGAGAAAGGCACGCCCCTTCTGATGCTGCAGTGTTGGGGAGGGGATGGGCAGCAGGGCCCCTGTTGCTGAAGCATGTGTGTTCCTAGGCGCATCAATCCCCTCTTCTCACTTTGGCCCGGACCTGGCCCTCGTCACTCATCTGCATACCCCTCTTGGCCCCTGAAGGCATCTGGGTTTGCAGCCACAGTCCTGAAATTTTACATGGGCTCTTTGGAGAGAGGAACACATTCTTCATTTTGAGATTATTAACACATAGCCTGGTAATTAGCAGATTCTCAGTAACGTTTGTTTAAGTATCCTCAGGTCAAAAGGATGACAAATTAGAGCAATGATGACAGTACTGGTCTCCTTACCTGGATATGGTCTCTTGGAGAAGCTTTCCCTAGAACTCCTTGCTTCCAGTGCTCCATGAGGCTCATACTTTGTTAGCCCAGGTGCCCTGTTTTCAGCAGTTGTCTGCAATCATTTTTATTTTAATAAATCAATATGTAACAATTGCATTAACAGTGCCCTCAAACCCACTGAGGAGAAGGAAATGATGACCCACTACAGTACTCTTGCCTGGAAAATCCTGTGGACGGAGGAGCGTGGTAGGCTACAGTCCATGGGGTTGCATAGAATCAGCCATGACTGAATGACTTCATTTTCTTTTCTTCCTTTCAAACGCACTGAAACACTGACTTTTAATATTCATTTCCCGACTACCCCATAATTAGCCTGTTGGTCACATTTATAATCTGATTGTTTTTCCTTGGGGTTATCCACTCCTGCTGATTGGATTCTTTTACCTACAGGTATGAAAATGAGCAGCCATTTAGAAAGGCAGCAGAAGAGGAAATTAACTCTCTGTATAAAGTCATTGATGAAGCGAATTCGTCAAAAATGGATCTGGAGAGTCAAATAGAAAGCCTGAAAGAAGAACTCGGCTTTCTGTCCAGGAGCTATGAAGAGGTAGGTGGGGACTGGGCCGTCTACAGATCCAGAAGCCCAGATCCAGACAACAGCCTTTCTGTGTCACTTGCCCTGGGCTACGGGTAAAATGCCAATAAAATATTTTCAGATTCTTATAGTGGGTGAGGTTATTGTGAGTCTCAAACTCAAATTGCTTCAGGGACCAGGCAGGTACATAAATGGGGAGGGAGCAGGTCCAGGCAGCAGTGAATGATGGAATGTGTGTTGAATTAAAGGGAGCATCTCCCAAGGTTTCTAGCTAGAACCTTTTTTCAACACTGGACAGAACAAACGAAATAACTCTGAGAGTAGATCCAGGCTGTAGCTTAGTCACACTTCATAATAAAATTAGGTCAGATCAGAGTGACAAGACCAAAGGGGCCCACCAAAGGTGATGTGGTCCAGTGTCCTGCAGAACTGCACTGATTCTAAACTACATCACACCTGTCACTGATCTAAAATCTAAAATGCTTGCAGTTGAAAAAGTGAAAACCCACTTAACCGTGTTCACATTGGGAAGTTACTTCTTTTGTCCAACCTTAAACTAACCACTTCCTCCTGTTCTTAGTTCCATGTTTGTCACCCTTTTTAAAAGGTACCCCTTTTAAAAAATTTCACGGTTATCTTTAACTTTCTTTCTGCCTCCTCTGACTTGATGAAATTCATAAGTTTCATCTTGCTTTTGTTGCTTATTCTGTGTTGTGATTTATTTTGAGTTTTGCTTTGTGTGGGTCTGGGATTGTGAAGACCAACCTAAGAAACGCATCCTAGGGAAAAGAGAATATGGTGCCCAAGCTGCCTGTCTCTGTGAAGCCCCACGGTTGGCAGCAGCAGACTGAGAAGCCAAGTATCGCTCATGGAGCTGGGCTTTGGCTGCTAGGACTTCATGTCCTTCCTTTCTCCTCTTGAACTCACTGAGCTGTATGTTGTCATTTTCAGGATGTGAAAATGCTGTACAAACAGCTGGCAGGGTCTGAGCTGGAACAACTGAATGTTCCCATTGGCACTGGGCTGGATGACATCCTTGAGACGATCAGAATTCACTGGGAAAGAGATGTTGAAAAGAACCGGGTGCAGGCGGGAGCCTTGCTTCAAGCTAAGGTGAGAGGCAAGATCAGCACCCTCCCTCTGCCCTGTGCAGAAGGAGGCCAAGCAAAGGTGAATAGTAGCCAACATGTGAAAGAAGAAAAGCAACCATTTCAATCTCATTAGACAGAAAAAAACATGCAGTTTACAGCAATAGTTTTTTGCTTACCTGTCTAAATGCAGAAAATGTTTAAAATGTTAATACTCAATGTTGGCAAGCATGTGGGTGCTCTCCTGAGTTACTGGGAAGCACAAACCAGTCTGACATCTTTGAGGAAGGGATTTGATGGTATGTATTGAGAGTCTTAAAATGCCCCTACCTACCAACTGAATCATCTAGACCCCATCCTAAAGATATAATTGAAAATATAGATAAAGTTTACATCCATATATACCCACTGAAGCTTTATTATTACAAGGGTGAAAAAATTGGGAGGAAAAACAGATAAATATTTAACAACAGGAGAAAGAGTAAGCCACAACCTGAGCATGCAGTAGAATATCAGGCAATTATTAGAAATTAGATTTATGAAGCATTGACAGCAGTATGGGGACTGCTCAGGCAATAAGGTAAAATGGGAGTAATAAAGAGAGTACAGAATGCTATGTACCAGGGGCCAGCAAACTTGCTCTGTATAGAACAAGATAGTAAATACTGAGGCTTCCTGGGCCAGAGGTCCTCTGTTGCAGTACTCAGCTCTGCCACTGTGGTGTGAAAACTGCTGTGGACAGAAAGTACCAGTGAGCATGGCTGTGTTCGAAAAAAACTTTATTTTCAGAAACAAGAGGTGAGTGGGCTCTATTTGGTCTTTGGACTGTAATCGCTGACCCCTGCTATACCCAGTAGGTAAACCATTCAAACAAAGACTCTAAGCCTCAAGAAAAAGTCAGAAGGAAGTTTAGTTTATTGTACTTCAATTATACCTTTATAATTATATAACTTAGGGCTTCCTTGGTAGCTCAACTGGTAAAGAATCCGCAGTGCAGGAGACCCTGGTTCGATTCCCGGGTTGGAAAGATCCCCTGGAGAAAAGATAGGCTACCCACTCCAATATTCTTGGGCTTCCCTGGTGGCTCAGATGCTAAAGAATCCTCCTGCAATGCGGGAGACCTGAGTTCAATCCCTGGATTGGGAAGATCCCATGGAGGAGGGCATGACAACTCACTCCACTATTCCTGCCTGGAGAATGCCCATGGACAGAGGAGCCTGGTGGGTTACAGTGCATGGGGTTGCAAAGAGTTGGACATGACTGAGCGACTTAAGCACAATTATACCTTAATTAAGCTAAAGGTATTAGCATAAGCAGTGGTTGTCTTTAAGTGAGGGACCCATTTCATGTTGTGGTGTTTTTTCTTTCTTGTTTTTGAGTATTTCTCAAACTTTTCTTAAATAGTATGATTTATATTCATGGAGGGAAAGCATCTTTTATTAGACCTCAGAAATAAGAAAGGAATTAACCAGAAAATATAAAGCATAGGGTTTGTTCTTCCCTTCTCCATCTCCCACCAATTCATGACTCTGGAACGCTGAGGCAGAGGATGAAAGAGCAGAAGAGGAAGGGAAGCAGAAAGGAGGTGAGAAAAATAAGAATTTGAAAGAAGGCAAGAGCATTGCTCTGAGGTCTTGGTGACCATTGAGTGGGTCTCAATGCTGACTGCACAGCAAAATTATTTCAGAGCACTTTCAAAAGTACCCAGACCCAAGACCAATTAAATCAGAAGGAGGAGAGGGACTTCCTGGCTTTTAAGCTCACTGATGATTCTAATATATAGCCAAGGTTGGGGACCATGGGTTGATCATATCTACCAAAAGGAAATGAGGAAGGCCTTTTCTGTTCTTTCTTTTCTCAGCCCTCCTCAACCCCTGCCCCCACATACCAACAGGAAACTTCCCCACAGGGTCTTCACAAATGTGGATCTTCCCAAAGTTCTCCAGCCCAGAAAGTGTCTTCCACTCCCCAATTCTCTACCCTCAACCCCTTTCCAACACCTCTTCTTTCAACTCCTTGGGCCAGGTCACTACAAACAATTTCCACAGCAAATAGTGCCTAGTAACTCCATTGAAATACAGCCTCCACAACCGTGAGAGGTGAAACAACACAGAAAGGGAAACCAAAACGTAGATTTGGTTTGGGTCCGTTGTTTCTTAGGGGACTCGTGAATATTTACAATGAATGACACTACAGACCATCTGTCCCATTCCCTCATTTTAGAGGTGAGGAAATTAAGACCCAGAGAGGGTAGTTGATGTCCTGAGGTCACACAGCTGGTTGTAACACCACTGTTTAGCTCTCCTGACTCTGGGTCCAGGGACCCTTTCTCTGCACTGGGCTGTTACTTCTCTTTGGCCCTGTTCCCAAAGCTAAATCATACTGACCCAGCAGTTTGCAAACTTGCTTTTGTCCCAACACCCCCGGGGTCCTTACCACACCATAGTGATTATCTCTCTGGGAAAGGGTGGAGGGGCACTGTAATTAACAGAAATATATTGTGCATCGCGTGAAAAAGAAAAAATTTTTTCATTATTATTCATCCCTTACCCTCTTGAGAATCATCATCAGCCCAACAGTCATTCAAACACTAATTCTAAACAGATCCATTAGAGTTTTTTTTTTTATTTTAAATAGAGTAATCTGAAAGCTACATCTCAGAGAATACAGACAGTATTTGTTTCAGTTTGGCCAGTGCTTCCAGTGGGCCTCTCGCAGAGAGGTGGAGCCAGAAAATATTTGCAGAATGAGTGAATTCTTCTAATCATCCATAGCAATCAGAACTGACAGCCAAAAGTCCTCCAATAAATAGTTTTGTCAGTTGCCATCATGCCCTCAGGGGCTGACTTTTGTCCAGCCTGAACATCTCTTGTCGGTTTCTTGGCGGCAAAGCGTAAATGTGAAATAGCTTAGCACACACTGCTTTCAAAACTTTTGCAGAGAAAATACAGACATGTATTTAATTACCTCTCAGTCTGGAGAGGCTAAAAATTAATTGACATGATTAATTTGTCTTCATTTACATTCCCCCAGAAACTGATCCTGAGACAAATGTAGAAGTGTAGGTAGTTTCTTTGGAAGTTGCAGGAAGCAGAGAAGTGAACCAACGAAGAACACACTATCCAGCCAGCTCCCACTGTGAGATACTGGAGCGTCCCCACGGTGGGTCGGGGGGACAGTAAAGAATATAAGAGAGACAAGGAAGCTGGGGTAGTAATACCCTTTCCTGTCAGTCATCTGACATCTGCTAGCAGAGTGGCCTTTCAGAGTCTTCGGAGAGAGCTCCCAGGTGCAGAATCTGGCAGTGGGAAGGAAGCTGGGGAGAACTAACGTGTCACCTAAGGAGTCAAGGTGGATGCTATCAGCATCTGCTACCACTTTCCTGCCAACTCTTAATCGGTAAAAGCTTGTAAAGAAGTTCCCGATAGGTTCTCTCTAGTCATGGTGTTATAGATGTTGGGAACCTCAGTGGCCCAGTTTTTTTTTCCCTTTATTTACTTTTAATTGAAGGATAATTACAATATTGTGTTGGTTTCTGCCATACATCAACATGGATCAGCTATAGGTACACATATGTCCCCTCCCTCTTGAGCTTCCCTCCCACTCCCCACCCCATCCAGCGCCTCTAGGTTATCACAGAGCCCCAGTTTCAGTTCGAGTCATACAGCAAATTCCCACTGGCTATTTTACATATGTTAGTGTATTCGTTTCCATGCTACACTCTCCATTCATCCCCACTCTCCCCTTCCTACCCACGCCCTGGCCCCATGTCATGAGTCTGTTCTTTGTGTCTGCATCTCCATTGCTGCCCTGCAAATAAGCTCATCAGTGCCATCTTTCTAGATTCCATATATATGTGTTAATATACCATATTTGTTTTTCTCTTTGTGACTTGTTTCACTCTGTTTGATAGGCTCTAGGTTTATCCACCTCATTGGAACTGACTCAAATGTGTTCCTTTTTATCACTGAGTAATATTCCATTGTATATATGTACCACAACTTCTTTATCCATTCATCTGTTGATGGACATCTAGGTTGTTTCCATGTCCTAGATATTTTAAATAGTGCTGCAATGAACATTGGGATACATGTGCCTTTTTCATTTATGGTTTTTGCAGGATATATGCCCAGTAGTGGGATTGCTGGGTCATATGGTAGTTTTAGTCCTAGTTTTTTAAGAAATCTCCATACTGTCTACCATAGTGGCTATATCAATTTACATTCCCACAGTGGTCCAGTTTTTGGTCCAGTTGCAAGATTCAGTGACTGGGCCATCAGGATGGTCCAGAGAATTTCTAGAGTGTTTTAAAGTCTGGCACTTTCTTTTCTGTTTGATGTGGTTACCAAACTCAGGATATCTGGGGATATTTTAAGAACCTCCAACAGCATGCCACACCACCCTCCAGACCACCTGGTTAGCCATGGAACACACTACCCAGTCTGCAACTAGCAGACCTTAAAAAGACCATCTTGGGAAATCCAGCAGGGTCACTATTATTTGCCTGTTTCCTAGATTCATGTGCTGAGATATTTCCACTCTGTAGAGTAACAAACAAAACAGAGAGTCCTGAGTGCAAGAATGCTCTACCCAGACCTTGGCTAGGTTAAGATCTTACAGTACCCTTCTTCCTAAAACTTCTGCAGAACTTAGCGTGCATTGAAGTCATCTGTCCGTCACTGTTAGAAGATTATTAATAGAATTCAAAAATAAAACCAATAACCATGTGAGGCCATTTGTGCTGGCTATACCTCTGACATCCTTTCTGTTCATTCAAACAGCCTCAAAAGTAGGAACTATTGTTATTCCCACTTCAAAGATGTGTTTTCTGCAACCAGGAATGAAGAAAGGAAAGCAAGCAGAGAGGAAGAAAAGGAGAAAGGGCTGGGAGCTTCTAGTTTCCCTGCAACCAGGCTGTTTCTACTAAGTTTTTCTTTCACAGGTACAAACACTTCAAGCATCATATCATCAACAGGAAAATGATGTTCTGGGTAGCCAAAAAGACACTTTCAAGAATGTAGTCCT